TTTTGAACCAGTTCAAGTGACCCTGCAGACTGATCAGGTAACTTTGGTAATCCGTGTTTGGAAATTGAGGTGTCTTTCCATTCGTTAGAGTTTTGAAACCTTCTGTTAACAAAATTGCAGGTGAGGGATATTCCATGTGGTACAAAAGGGGGTGTCATGATCAATTTTGAGAAGATTGAGGTAAGGCTATGTGATATTATTGTTCAATGTTGCGTGAAGTCAGATTTCTAATATCCTCACTGTGCATGCACTAATTAGGATGCATTTTGCAGGTCGTAAACAGGCTTCGTAAGGATTTTGTGTATGAGACGCTTCTCAATTACGGTATCCATTATGACAATACCTGGATATATGACAAAATTCATCATGAGATCAATCAGTTCTGCACCTCACATTCTCTTCAAGAAGTTTATATTGATGTGTTCGATCAGGTAAGGTGGAATGTAAATGAGTGTGTTACTCTTTTTTTTAATCTGTAGTATATGCGCATGTGTTTTGAAAAAATGCAAATGAGCCTGATACATACACGAGTAGCATATATTTTTTCCTTCTCTTCTGTAATGTAAACTGAGGATTATCGCATGTGTTTTGAAGAATTGTTTTAATGAGCTAGTTTGTTGTATTATATTTGTGGGTTGAATTCTTTTTATCATTCAGTAATATCCAAAGCCTCATAATTGATTGTCAACAAAACATACCCTTTCAGATTGATGAAAAGATGAAAGAAGCTCTTCAGGGTGACTGTACCCGTTATGCTCCGGGTATTGAAATCATCAATGTCCGTGTTACAAAGCCTACCATCCCAGAAAGTATAAGACGTAACTTTGAGCAAATGGAAGAGGAGCGCACCAAGGTAATGATAAAGATAAAGAGTTCATTTTATTCCATTTCTTCATCCATAATTCTGTTACAAACATTACATAATTTATAAACTATATATTCTGATTCCACTTCCCCCTTTTAGTTATTTTGTGGAATTTATAATTTCCTGTCACAAATTTTCCCTGAATATTGATAGAGAAGTCTTGTTTATATCCAGTTTTACTCAAATTACTCTCCCAAGTACTTGATGCCCAAACATTGGACATGCTTTAGAACAAAAAGTTTGTCATAAGATTTTGGGCTACCCTCTCTTTAGAGTTACAGCATTCTTTGTTATATCATAACTGTTTCGTGTTACTTTGTAGGTCTTAATTGCTATAGAGAGACAGAGAGTAGTGGAGAAAGAGGCAGAAACCAAGAAGAAGATGGCTATCAGTGAGGCTGAGAAGAATGCCAATGTCAGTAAGATTCTCATGGAACAAAAGTTGACGGAGAAGGACAGTGCTAGGAGGCAGCAGGAGATTGAAAACCAGATGTACACAGCTCGGGAAAGGAGCCTTGCAGATGCGGATTTCTACAAAGTTATGAAGGAAGCTGAAGCAAACAAGTTGAAGCTTACTCCTCAGTTTCTTGAGCTTAAATTCATCGATGCCATAGCTGATAACACTAAAATTTTCTTCGGAGACAAGGTTTCTCTCTCTCTGTTTTTGGCACATTACTTGTATATGTGTGTCTTTGTACGAAACAGTACTCAGTAGTGACTTTGCTTTGCAGGTTCCTAATATGGTTTTGGATCAGAGGTTGCTGGGGAACTTCTTACAGGTGCCGACAGAGGTGTCAAAAGAAGTGTCCGGGGAAGCTAACTGAGAAGCTGGTGCGGATAATTCAGATGTTCAATCTCTCTGATGTAATTGCTATATCTTGAGCTTGGATAGGTACATTGCACGCATAACTCAATAGTGAGAAAGAAAAACTATCGACTTTTGCAGCTAATTTCCTTTCTTTTTTCTCTTCGGTTAATTGTCCACATTTGATTCTTTATTTCTGTTAGGGCCTGTTTGGTGGGCTGGTTGGGATAGGTTATGACCAACTAAAATAGACTTGAGTCCAGTACATTGTTTGCTGTGTCAAAATGTGAAATGGACAGTACGAGATATGATGGGGTTATGAATCCACAGTAGAGTGGGTTATCTAACCTATCGTTATACATGAGTTACAAGTCATGTCTTTCATGTGCTTGCCAGTCCAATTCTATTTCAAAGGCCTAATCCCATCTAGTCGACCCACCTGTTTGGTGGGTTGACCAGAGCAACAAGGTGGGTTGACCAGAGCATGGTTGGGATTAAGTCTAGTCCCGTAGAGTCATGCGGGAGGGGACTTTTCGTTTCTAAATTCTATATTATGTAGATGAGGCGATAATCTAATCCCATCATTATTAAGTTCACCAAACTGAGGCATAAGAGTAGAAAATTTGAGGCCAGTATGTCATCGTTAGATACGTTATTTCATTATGCATGTAACCAAGATAACGTATGAGTAGCAGTTAATGATAGACACAATGAGAAGTCAGATTAAAGCGTACGAATTAAGTAATCCAAATTTTCTTGGGAGTTTTAACGAAACACTTCCGTTATTATTCACTTTTAATGAAAATAATATTTTTACTTTAAAAAATCATTTCTGATATTATTCATTTATAATATTTTTTTGTTATTTTGATTAAAACTAAAAATTTTCAAATTATTTTTATTAGTTTTTCTAATTTTCTTTCATGGTATGTCGATGTCATCGGCCATTTTGTTATCGTTATGGATACTCTCTCTTTTTCTGACGTGTTGCTGTTTAAATAAAAAAGACACGTGTACGTAGTCTTGTAAATGGAATGTTCCAATTTGGATACGAATTTACGCATGAAGTGGATATTGATAGGGTAAGTAAGATGACGTAGCATGCCACTGACTACACATAGATGCTCGCATTTTTTTTTATAAAAAGAGATTGGTTGTTTGTTTACCTCGTTACGTTACTTTACCTCTTTTTTTTTATTTAAACGGTTACTATAAATCATGTCAATATTCTATTTTGAATTTTTTTATAGAGAAAAAAAAAAATATGAGATGAAGAAATGAGAGGGAATTAGAAGAAAAGAAAATCTTCATTTTTTAAAAAGTAATTATCGAAGTAGAACCTTATTGCCAAAGAATATTTGGCTAATTTCATTTAGCTCTATTGAAGTTGAACAACCTATCATCGGTAACAACTAGGACATAATGGCCCAATATGCTTTACTACTCAATAATGAGTAGGACATGTTCCTAAAAAAATTTATTGTTCAAATCACAGAGTTTTGTATTTATGATTATAACCGTTCAAATTATAAATCACTCTGTAAACATTGTTTATGTAAAAAATGAATTAAAACTAAAGTCGTTTAATCAATCTATTATAACAAATACATAGACAGTTTGTAATACATCTGATGTTAGTTTAATTTAGTTTTTGCAAAGATAATCTTTATAGAGTGATTTGTAATATACACGGTTCTTATCATAAACACAAAATTCTATGAATTTACAACAAACAATTTTGAGTAGCAACTCCTACTCATCATTCTAAGGGGGTGTATTCAATTGAGATTTTGAGAGATTTTAATTCTTTTAATGAATCTAGGGGTATTCAATCAAGATTTTAAATGATTATTTGAAATTTAATGTGTATTTAATCATGATTTTAAGATGGTTTATTAAAATTCTTAGAAATCTAGGTGTATTCAATTAGGATGTTAAATAACTTTATAACATTCCAGGTGTATTCAATTAAAATTTCATTTTAAATTTTAAAGAATTTCAAAAAGTTGAGGAATTAGAGGGAATTTGAGAGATTTTGTAATGTATTTAAAGCATTCACAAATCTCCCATCTTCCTATGAGATTTTGGAAAAATTGAATCAAAATTTTATATGAAATATCTACAAATCAATTAAACTCTATAAAAATTCATGGATTATAAATTCCTCAAAATCTCAATTGAATACATCCCGGTAGCCACATATCATTCGCCAAATATAGAAAACAAAGAGGGGAAACTTTGTCAGAAGCCAGCCTCCATCGGTTCCATTTTTCATAAAAAAAATACAGGCCACTTGCAACCTTGTAATTTGTATCAACAATACAACTGTATTATCTGCTTAATTGTTGTGGGGATTTTTTATATACACAAAAAAGATTCCGTTAAGATTCGGAAGGATGGTATCGTATAATTATAATTTTTTTAGAGACCAAATTTGACGGTGTCATTCATAATTTTGTTGCTTGATAAAAATTTAGGAAAAACTAATAAAAATAATTTGAACTTTTTGAGTTTTAATAAAATAAAGGATAAAGTAAATAGTATCATGATTGACTTTTTAGTATAAAAATATGATTTTTCGTTAGAGTAAACAGTATCTGAAGTTTTTCGTTAAAATTCTAAAAAATTTAACACTAATTGGAGCTGTCAATTTCTTAATTTAACGAAAAGTCAAGATATTTGTTCTTTAAACGGTGGGGTTAAATTCACAAAAGTACGGCCATACGTTGACTAATTTGAGCAACGTGACATACAGACGTGGAAATTTCCACCGATGCAAAAGCTGCATCTGAGGAAACTCAGATTCAAAGATTCCACTTTACCATTTTTTTTATTTTTTATGATTTCATAATTCTCCACAAACCATTTCAACGCCTTAAAACTCCAACTTCTCTGTTTTCATCTTATCTTCTTCACGGTTTTAGCTTCCTGCAAACGCTGCTTTTTTGCTGAGCACTTCTGCTTCATGTTCAAAGAGATACAGTGAAAGATCCCCAACTCTTCTGAGCAGAATCATTTGCGGAGGTTTATTGATTGTTACATGGAATGACTTTTGCTTTCTGCTGACGCTGCTTTTTGGAACATCCCAAGTTGTGGGGTTCTTCCCTTTGATTGGTAGGTGATCTTTCCCACCCCACTCCCTCCACTTACCCTTCATTTATTTTTATGGGTTTTTTTTTTCCCTTGTTTGCTTCAAAGTTTCAAACTGTCATATGCTGAGTGGTGGGTGAAAAAAAAAGACATTTCTCTGGAGCTTTTTTCTTTTATATTTGATATTTTTGGGTTTTTCTTGTTTGCTTCAAACTTGCTTCTGCTGGTTGGTGGACGGAAAAAAAGCCAATTCTGGTGATCCTCTGAAGTGGCTTTTGATCTGTCATGGTATGTAGTAATTAGTATGTGTTTGAAGTCTACTAGTTTCCTGCAAGACTACTGATTTGATGCCTATGATTTTGAAGTCCACCAATAAAAGCGCTTTTAACAACTGAAAACGCTTCTGATTACGTTATAAAAACCTGGGAAGTGCATAAAAAGTATCTGTCACAGAAAGCACCTCACTTTTTTCAGGAAACAGTTATATTCTTAATAAAATTCTGTATGTGTTCTTGTAAAAGCACTTTTAACAAAAGCGCTTACGAGTAGAAGTTAATCAATGCTTTCTCTTTTGGGTTTGTTCCAGTTCAAATTGTTCCATATGAATGAAATTTTCTTAAATCATAGCATGCTTATTCATGTACTGAAAACAACCAAGAGATGTTGAATCCTCTGTGTGCTGTAAACAGGATTCTTCAGGTGTTCCGCTGCTGATTTCCTTACCATCCGAGTCGAACTTTTCACCTGGTTTAAAAATGTATGTGGTGGAGAGCAAAGGAGGTGCCATAGCATGCATGCTGCTCTCCCTCTTCTTCTTGGGTACATGGCCTGCTATCCTCGCCATGCTAGAAAGACGCGGCCGCCTTCCTCAGCATACGTATCTCGATTACTCAATCACAAACTTCCTGGCTGCTGTACTTATCGCCTTAACATTTGGTCAGATTGGCAGCAGCACGCCTGAGGAGCCGAACTTTTTGACTCAACTTTCGCAGGTGAATCTTTCATGGTTGTTATGTGAGTGAATCATTCGGTGGTCCATAAGCTTAGCATGATATATATACTAGACGCTTGCGGAACTAGTGATGCAACACCTTTTGAAGCGTATTGGATAATATGTGCAGGATAATTGGCCCTGCGTTTTATTCGCGATGGCAGGCGGGGTGGTCCTCAGCATCGGAAATCTTGCCACACAGTATGCTTGGCCTTTTGTTGGTTTGGCAGTGGTAGAAGTGGTTACTTCAAGCATTACAGTTGTCATAGGTCTCCCTCCCAAACACTTTGATGTATTCGTGTTCGGAAGTTTTTATGATTGGCAATGTTCTGAACTTGCCGACATTTACCTCTCCCAGACCCTGCGTAAAGCCGGAGCCTTGTGCACTGGGTACGACCAATGTTCTGAACTTGCTGGTGACTCTCTTCCTTTTGAATGTAACAGGCACAACATTTAATTACTTCTTGGATGACAAGATTAACAAAGCCGAGATTCTTTTTCCCGGGGTTGCCTGCTTCTTGATCGCGGTTTGTCTTGGCTCCGCTGTTCACTCATCCAATGCAGCAGATAACAAAGCAAAACTTGAAAGCATGGCAACTGATCACGTAGATGGAGAAAAGTACGTTTCTTCTTCCTATAGATATTGGAAATTAGTGTTCTTTTCGTGGTTTGCCATATTTCTTGATTCGAAATCAAATGCTAGAACACGGTGATTTCAATCTTGCGGCTTATAAATTCTTTTTGTTATGACAGGCCTTCAAATGCTTCCGTAATTCCAAGTGAGGGTAAGACATTAGGTGAAGTTATAACATTCCATTATATACTTGTGTTGTTACTGTTTATGAGTTTCGTGTTTCTTTCGATATGTGATATCCATAGCCGGTTTGAAAGATGTGGAGGGTGGAAATGGTCCTGCTCATAGTGCCAAGGCTGGAACTGCAAAATATCTTGTACAGCTGGAGAACAGAAGATCAATTAAAGTGTTCGGGAAGAACACTTTTATAGGACTTGGCATTACTTTCTTCGCCGGACTTTGCTTCTCTCTCTTCTCACCGGCATTCAACTTGGCCACAAATGATCAATGGCATTTATTGAAGAAAGGAGTTCCTCATTTGGTCGTTTACACTGCGTTTTTCTACTTTTCATTATCTGGTACCGTTGTTGCTGTCATCCTAAACATCATATTCATTTACCGCCCTGCGCTGGGTTCACAGAAGACATCGTTCAGAGCTTATGTTACCGATTGGAATGGTAGGGGATGGGCGCTTTTGGCCGGTGTCCTATGCGGATTCGGCAATGGTCTCCAGTTTATGGGAGGTCAAGCTGCAGGATATGCAGCAGCTGATGCAGTTCAGGTTGGTTTCATTTCATGACATAAACACATAGAGATGCATTTGAAGCGATTGTCTTGGTGACATTTTAACCATTTTATTTACTTGAATTCGGGTTTTATAACTGCAGGCACTTCCGCTCGTGAGCACTTTTTGGGGCATCCTTCTGATGGGAGAGTACCGAAAATCATCACGAAGAACATACGTGTTGCTCTGCAGTATGTTGTTTATGTTTATTTTAGCTGTTGCAATCCTCATGGCGTCATCGGGGCATCGGAAATGAGCATTCAACTCGAAGGTCGTAGCCCGACGGGGAAAGGAAAAAGAAAAAAAGAAATGTAGCTGGTTGTGAAGATGCATTCGTCTAGTTTTTTTTTTTTTTTTTTTTTTTTTTTTTTTTTTTACTAAAGATAGAAAATATGGGGGGAATTTAAAGATGCAAAGAAGTGAAATTTGTAAAATATTGTGTCAAGTTTGATTGATGTACGACGGTGAATAATTCCATACGACATCATTGTTTCCAGTTTCCACGTTCATTATTTCTCTGTTATTTCAGTTCAAGAAGATACATTGAAATGGGTACATCGACATTTTCCTACTCTTTGAGTGTAGATTGAGCGCTCGTTTGAGATTGTTTCTCCATAAAACACTTATTCTCTTAAACGCTTCTTCTAGAAGTGCTTCCATTCTACTATATACACTTAGAGTTTGTTTGGATGTGCTTTTAAAATGACAGAAAGCGCTTTTGGTTAAAATGTTTTTTGAACCAATTCTTAGTTAAAATGCAAGTAAATATTGAAAAATGACTTAAAGTGCCTTCTTAACTAGTGCTTCTTGTAGAAAGCACTTCAAGTGCTTTTGGAACTGAAAAACATTTTCTCTAAAAGCGCTTTCAGTCATTCTAAAAGCAGATCCGAACGAGCCCTTAACAGATTTCAACTGAAAATCTAAGTGCGCATCATGTAAAAGCACGCTTTTTGAAGTAGCATCTAACAAGTACTTCTACAGAAAGTGCTTCAACAAGCCACAAGTACTTCTAAATTTTTTCATCATTCAAAAAGCAAACACAGTCAAAGCATTCTTAGCTGTCAGAAAACGCTTTTAGTCCTTCCAAAACCGAGTCATTAACAAAAAGGGCACGTTCATTAATTCTCTGTTAATTCAGTTCAAGAAGACACATTGAAATGAGAACATCGACATTTTCCTACTCCGAGTGTAGGTTGAGCGCTCGTTTGAGATTGTTTCTCCATAAAACACTTATTCTCTTAAACGCTTCTTCTAGAAGTGCTTCCATTCTACTATAAACATTTAGAGTTCGTTTGGATGTGTTTTTAAAATGACTGAAAGCGTTTTTGGTTAAAATGTTTTTTGAACCAATCCTTAATTAAAATGCAAGTAAATATTGAAAAATGACTTAAAGTGCTTCTTAACTAGTGCTTCTTGTAGAAAGCACTTCAAGTGCTTTTGGAACTGAAAAACATTTTCTCTAAAAGCGCTTTCAGTCATTCTAAAAGCAGATCCGAACGAGCCCTTAACAGATTTCAACTGAAAATCTAAGTGCGCATCATGTAAAAGCACGCTTTTTGAAGTAGCATCTAACAAGTACTTCTACAGAAAGTGCTTCAACAAGCCACAAGTACTTCTAAATTTTTTCATCATTCAAAAAGCAAACACAGTCAAAGCATTCTTAGCTGTCAGAAAACGCTTTTAGTCCTTCCAAAACTGAGTCATTAACAAAAAGGGCACGCTCATTAATTCTCTGTTATTTCAGTTCAAGAAGACACATTGAAATGAGAACATCGACATTTTCCTACTCCGAGTGTAGGTTGAGCGCTCGTTTGAGATTGTTTCTCCATAAAACACTTATTCTCTTAAACGCTTCTTCTAGAAGTGCTTCCATTCTACTATAAACATTTAGAGTTCGTTTGGATGTGTTTTTAAAATGACTGAAAACGTTTTTGGTTAAAATGTTTTTTGAACCAATCCTTAATTAAAATGCAAGTAAATTTTGAAAAATGACTTAAAAGTGCTTCTTCAGAAACACATAATTGGTGCTTCTTGCAGAAAGCACTTCAAGTGCTTTTGGAACCAAAAAACATTTTCTCTAAAAGCGCTTTCAATCATTCTAAAAGCACATCCAAACGAGCCCTTAACAGATTTCAACTGAAAATCTAAGTGCGCATCATGTAAAAGCACGCTTTTTGAAGAAGCATCTGACAAGTACCTCTACAGAAAGTGCTTCAAAGCCACAAGTACTCCTAAAGTTTTTCATCATTCAAAAAGCAAGCACAGTCAAAGCGTTCTTAGCTGTCAGAAAACGCTTTTAGTCCTTCCAAAACTGAATCATTAACAAAAAGGGCACATTCTAAACCATTGTAAGTTGCTCTGTGCCCCAACTCCCATTTCTGGTACCATCGATAAAAACTTGCTCAAGCAGACTGCTACTGCTTGACATGTTTTGACCATATTTGAAACTGAGACCTCTTCAGTCCATTCCATCCGGCAAGGTTTACATGTTACAAGTTACGCTTTATATGCTTACTCGTTTAAAAAACTTTCTGCTCGAGTGTTAAGATGATGGGAGGCCCTTCTTCCAATCAGTAGCCAGAACTGAGGGTGAAATGATCAATATCAGCTGTAAACATCTGTGTTGTTGTATACGAAGATCTCATCAATGGTGACGTTCCTGTCAAAGCACTTTAAGTCAGTTTTATTTAAATCATCGGTTTCGCCTCTTTTTGTATTTTAGAAAGTTACTAATGATTACCTAGTCAGTCTTTCCATCTGAAGGCCCACAGATCCAATTTGCCTTCCAAACGATTGTAGGCGATAAGAGACGTTCTGTTTTCCAACCCGATGTCTTTAACTGCAATATAGGATGTTCAGCGATCCCAGTTACCCAAAAATGTAAAACTGATTAAATTAATCTCTAAAATGTACTACCTTCTGAATAAAATCTTCGTAGTGTTTATCCATCCATGCTTGGCTTTCAGAATGAAGGATTCGGCGTTTATCTGTAAGACTTGCCATGGCATTTGCATGGAAAAATGACTGCAATACATCTGTTGCTGTAGAATCTTTATGCATGACAATGCAGATGTTTCCTTTCCTCTCCATTAACAAGTACCTGGCTGTAAAGTTAAGCAGGGAAACAACAAAATAAGTAGCAAAGTTCACGGTTGAAATTCAATTGATAGAAGTACAAAGCAGAGATCAACCTTTCTTATAATGAGATCCTGCAGAATGCAACAGGTCCTTCCTGATTAAGAATATCATTCAAAATGTCAGTCACATGCACAAAAAATAAAAAAAACTTATCAAGCCATAATCTTGAATGCCTAACATCTAAAGATATGCACAGCACAGCTCATTAGCATTTGATATGAGATGACAGAAGACAGATGATTCCTAAGGCCTACCGGAAAATGAAGTTTAAGGGGCAAGAAAAGAAACTCACAGTTCCAGGTGATTTAGTGAGGATACCCTGACACCTAAAGATACGTCCACATGCATTGACTCTGTCTTCTTTGAGCTCCATGAAGATGCCCATATGGGTAAAACGTGCTCCATCTTAGAGATCTGTTGAGGAGAGAGAACTGGAAACAAATCCATATTTAAAATCTCATACAATAAAGATGAAAGTGTGAACAAAAACAATCTTGCAACATCGAAGTTGGATTTTCACAGAAACTAACATTTCACGGGAATCAACATAACAACCAAGTTCCCAAAATTTTATAGCAGAATGCTAGGGCAGGTTAAACCCAATCTTTCATAAGGAAAATATATGTTGAACAATAATTTTGGCATATCAATTTAATACATGACCATTGTAAAGATGGAGAATGTTGTAGTTTTGATCATGTACATCAGCAGATATGCTGTTTTTAAGGACAATTCTTTTAATGACCACTATAAACTGCGGTAGCGGAGAAAAAATATTCAGCTCGGCCCTTAAGGGACAACAAGGAATAGTAGTTGCGTACCTTGGCCAGTCTTCATGAAATGCTGCAAAACAATTGAGCACCTCTCAGGGTTCAAAGAATTTAACGCAAGGCATCGAACAGCCTTGTAGTTTGCTGGTGCAGGAAAAACAATTATCACATAACTGCTCTGAAAATTATCTGTAATTAACTTTTTGCATAGCATTTGGTCACTATGGCTTCTGGAAGGTTGCATGTCAGCAACCATGGCAATGGTACTTACCATACATATGGAACACGGTGAGAGATAAAAAGGAAAACCAAATAGCTAGTGGGTGTCCCATGGTAACGCGAGCAAGAAGCATACCCAATGCCATACCAACCATTGTTGCCACTGTCTCTTGACTTCCTTCCTATAAACGTAAAAAGATGTTAAAGGACAATACTAGCGAACATATATCAGATGGTCCTCATCTAAGGGTCAGAATGATTGTGCTGGTACCTTAGCAGATATATCAGCTGCATTACTCTGAAGGGCAAAATGTTGCGTCAAAGCAGCTCTAGTAGCTCCACTTGCAACACCAGCTAAATGAGACGAAATTCTGATCAAGCTCTATACTTGGGCAATGGATACCATACCACATTATACGGATTACTATATTTTCATTTTATGAGACACAGGGACTTACTGAATGATCTCGATATGCTTCCTAAACAAACAACAAACACAAAAACCGATGGAAACAAAGGTGAAACAAGGTCCATCAACATTCCTGCAATGAAAAAACAGCCTGTCCAGTCAAATTAAGACAAAAGGTTACACTGAATAACCTCGAACTACAAATAATATAAGGTTTTCAAGATGATCTCCAAACTTGTAACAAATAAATTAAAGATCGGTTACATCATACCAAGATCATTCATAAGATCTGCAACTAATCGCCACATTTTGGCATTGCTATCCAGATTCGAGCCCTGAAGAATAAGAGTTGATGGAAGGCAAGAAATGGTAAACAGATGATGAACACAATAATGAGAATTCTTAGAAAATAGCAAATTTCAGTCACGGAGATACCAGCCAAAAGGGTACATAAAAGCAACCAATACCATGAATACATAAGAAGGCACAAAAGTTTCTACAGGTTGTAATGTAAATAGTACACGGCATGAGCCATAAAACAAGAGTATCGCACCTGATAGAACGTGAATAAGATACCTCCAAGCATTCCAGTTAAGTCTCTCAAAAACCACTGCAACATTCTCAACGTTGACAGAAAAAAAAACCCTCATTCACTACGTATTGCAAGCTCAAATACTCAGTGAAGCTTTCTCTTCACCCCAATTCCCAACATTGAAGCTAGAAGTAGAAAATTTGTACCTGAAAGGTGGCACCAATTACCGTAGCCGATTTCTCGCCCACCCCAATAGCACTCAGCAGAGCCTTGGAGTAAATAAAATGTAGAATTAATTATAAATCTAGTAATCAGCAAGGGAACTTCACAAAACTCTACAAAAATATGATGCTTACTTGTGTAGAAAGCATGGTCCTTATGTAAGTAGAAAGACCCTTGAACAAAAATCAAATTAAGAAATTAATCATCGTATACAATTAGCACTAATTATGTAGTAATTCAAATTACTAGAGCAATAAAAATTAGAAAGCATATAGTTGGTTATATTTGTATATTTACCTGGAGTAAATCCCAGACTTGGAAAGGGACATAATCTGGAGTTACACTGCTGGGAAAGCCCTGCATAAACCCTAATACCAAAGTTAACAACCAAAAGAAAAAGGCTTTCAATTTGAAAAATGCAGGAATTAAAAAATGAAAATACAGGATTTATAAAAAATAATTAAAAAAACTTGCCTCTGGTACAAATGCTTCGAGAAATCGCCTCCAAACATGGTGGAAAGGGCTACCGGATCTTCGAGTTTGGAGAAAAATTCAAACTTTTATAAGAGATTAAACGAGCTGAAATTAAAAAAAGGAGAAGCGCCGGGAAAAGGATAACCTTTGGATAGAGAGGGAAGGAGACGCAGTGATGGTGGCGGTTCTGGAGAGTTTGGTGGAAGAGGAGCCGTTCCATTCTTCCACTATGATCTCTGCTGACGCAACTTCCATGGCCGATTGCTTCAGTGCCTCCGTTGATTCAGAGAAGCAAACGATTGACTTATTCAGTTCCCTTAGAATTAAAAATAAAATAAATTAAAACAAAAAACAATTGACTTATTAAGTCACTTTAAAATTTTCACTTAGTACTATAGTTCGGTGATATTGTTCTTCATTTATAAATGACAGGTCTTAAAGTTTGATTCTCGTCAAAGGCTCGCCCATTGTGAGGCTTAGCTTACTCCCGCATCCTCTTAGTGTATCGCTTATTTGAAAAAGTTATTTTAAATTTAAATAAACCATATTATTAGGGCACGTTAATTATAAGGATTTAGCTTACTCGCGCACTCTCTTAATGTATCACTTATTTGAAAATTTTACTTCAAAATTAAAATAAAATTAAAGAAGTTACTTTAAAATTAAAATCTAAAAAAACAAATTTTAAAAATTTTAAAAAACATACAGTTACTTTAAAATTAAAATAACCATATTATTATAGCTAGCCAATTATGAGAGCTTATCTTACTCCTACACCCTTTAATGTATCGCTTATCTGAAAAAAGTTACTTCAAAATTAAAATAAATTAAAGAAGTCAATTTAAAATTAAAATCTAAAAAAAATTAAATTAAAAACAAAAACAAAATAGTTACTTTAAAATTAAAATAACCATATTATTATGACTTCCCAATTATGAGGACTTAGTTTACTCTCGCACCCTCTTAGTGTATCACTTATTTTAAAAAGTTACTTCAAAATTAAAATAAATTAAAGAAGTTAAATAATCATATCATTATGACTCGTTAATTATGAGGACTTAACTTACTCGTGCACCCCCTTAGTGTATCGCTTATTTAAAAAAGTTACTTCAAATTAAAATAAATTCAAAATCCAAAATTAAAATAAATTAAAAAACTTACTTTAAAATTAAAATCTAAAAAAACTTTAAAATAAATTAAAAAACTTACTTTAAAATTAAAATCTAAAAAAAACTTAAACATTAAAATAAATTCAAAAATAAATAAATTAAAAAAGTTACTTTAAAATTAAAATCTAAACAAAAACGGTTATTTGAAAAAGTTACTTCAAGTTAAAATAAATTCAAAATCCAAAATTAAAATAAATTAAAAAACTATTGACCCTAAAAACTAACAAGTCTACGTGGCGCGCAGGCCGAGTAATTAGTAAGTTAACTACGTCATTCGTTTGTATACGAGGCATGCCAACTCGTCGGCTGAGGAGTAAAATTTGTTGATGTTGCGTTGGGTGCGTTGCTGACTTCTAAATCTCGCGACTGCGGCTGAGGAAGGAACACTCTCGCCCTTCGGGTTATAGAGCATGAAGACAAGGCTGCTAGTTCTGCGAAGTTCAATATCAAATTCGGCTTTCAATGTGCCGAATGTAATAACTTGTAACACCTCACTTCGCCGAAAAGGCTAATGAGATGACCTCTGCCAATAAGGATTCGAAAATCCTTCTCGACCGAGACTTTGATAGATAACCAGTCACCCTCGACGCAGTGCTATCTATGCCGACTGAAGATGCTGCGAGACTGGCTGGTTCTACGGTGACAGTGCTATGCCAACTGAAGATATCACCGGTTGCCTTCACAGTGCTGTTTATCCAAACTGAAGGTGTGTTGGCGAAAAAAGAAAAGGAAAAAGTCTCAAGGTTGTTGAGAGAATTTGCGCAGGGCAATTGTGTGTTTAATTGAAGGGGCTCCTTCTTCCGTTGCACAACGCCTCTGTATTTATAAGGACGTGTTTGCATTGATCCCTGAGCATATTTTGCGTGGATAAGATTCATAATGTAACTATCCAACCAATTTAAAAACCTCCATCATTATCTTCTTTTCTCCTTATTTTGTCCATCATTATCTAAATATATGATAATCTCCACGTGCTGGAACCAAGGTGCAATTACGCACTTATCAAAAAGTTCAAACTTGATCCCATCTTTTCCATCTTTTCAAAGCCCACGAGTTCCAACTTGATGCAATTTGCTTGATCAGATTCTTGGCACCCTGCCAAGAATATTCTGTTATCCATGCACGCAAAACAACCATCTGTAGTCTAGGTGAACTCCAAACTCATTTGTTTACTAATTATCACCATCATTTAAATGGATAATAATCAATTTGTAGCACGCCACTTGAATCTATCAGTCACCTAAATTGATCACACCCACACATCCACACACCAAACATTCAGATTAACTTGAATTATACTACCGTGTTTCCAGCTGGAAAATCTTTCATAATAAATTATTATTAAAAGATAATTATGATAAAAATCATAACATTATCCCTTAATAATAACCAAAATGAATTATCTCCACTTTTCATCTGACGGTGTGAAGTTATGCTTACTCAACGGCCTTGATTGCACGGATCGACGGTGTAAATTTAGGTCCAAACAAAACTTACTTCAAATTAAAAATCTAAAAAAAAAACTTAAAACTTAAAATAAATTCAAAAATAAATAAATTTAAAAAGTTACTTTAAAATTAAAATCTAAAAAAAAAAACAAAAAACAAAAACGCTTATTTGAAAAAGTTACTTCAAGTTAAAATAAATTCAAAATCCAAAATTAAAATAAATTAAAAAACTTACTTTAAATTAAAATCTAAAAAAAAAAAAACTTAAACTTAAAATAAATTTAAAAAGGTTACTTTAAAATTAAAATAGAAAAATAAACAAAAAACAAAAACGCTTATTTGAAAAAGTTACTTCAAGTTAAAATAAATTCAAAATCCAAAATTAAAAAAAATTAAAAAAAAACTTACTTTAAATTAAAATCTAAAAAAGACACTTAAAAATTCAAATAACTTCAAAAATAAATAAATTTAAAAAGTTACTTTAAAATCTAAATAAAAAAAAAAACTTAGGAAAAAAGCGCTAGAAGGAGGGTTCGAACCTCCGACCTTGTGGTTAACAGCCACACGCTCTAACCAGCTGAGCTATTCCAGCATTTGACGATACGTGTCCTAAATAAATATATTGATTGTTTATAAAGAAACAGTAATATAGTCAGCAAATTTCATCCAATGTACTATGAACTTTATACTTATTTCACTTTATCTTCTAAGTTTAAATTTAGTTTTGAGCCACCCTAAATTCTCAATTCGTGCTAATCTCCAATAGTTTTTTTTGTCACAATTTTTGTTCATTTGATCACATATAATGCAGATAACAAACTTGTAAAGTCATATACGTTAACAAAATGCTACATTCGTAAAAAAAAAAAAAGTTTTGAGTTATGAGAATTTTTAAGAGAAGAATTGAAACTTATGTCACAAATAAGTAAATTCATAGCTTACAAATATTGAATTGGATCTCTTGTTTTTTCTTTACAAAGCTGTTGTTTGCACTTTTCCACTCATCCACTGAGCCACCTATCGTGGTTACTTATTATAAATTATTTTTTATTTACCCGTAATAAATAGGGCGTTTCTGGTAAGATGTAAGGGTAAACTCAACCTTCTCATACAACCAATCACGCAATAGTTAGTGAACTGAATAATGACAAATACTAATTATCGGATGAACATTAGGAAAATTTGAAAATTTAGAGGAGCTGAAAACAAAATTCAAGTTCAAGGGGGCAAAAGTATAAACAAGTCTATAATTGAGGGGCACTTCCAAATTTTCCCAAAGATTATGAGCTCTGTAAAATTACCAACCCAGATTCCAGAGCAACGAGGACGAAAGAAAAAGTTTGAATCTTTGGATGAGAGAATGTGGAGAAAACTAGAAGCTCTCACTCATCTTCTTCCCCACAGAAGAGGAAGAGCCTTCTCCTCAACACCTGAAATCCCAACCCTCTACTCCTTCCTCCAACCTTCAATCTTTGCCCTCAAGAGGGACCCACCTCCCTCCTCCTCCCTCCAATCCCACGGCGACCTCCCAACCCCGCCGCCCAAAACCCTCTCCCCCGACCACATCGCCGCCCTCGAGACCGCCCTCCACAAGTCCCTCATAACCCACGACACCGATGAGGCCTGGAAGTCCTTCAAGACCTTCACCGGCACCTCCGCCTTCCCCTGTAAGTCCCTCACCAATTCTCTAATTACCCATTTGTCCTCGCTCGGGGACATTCACAATCTCAAGAGGGCTTTTGCCTCGACTGTTTATGTCGTGGAGAAAAACCCAGGAATTTTGGAGTTTAAAACTGTTGGGATTGTGTTGGATGCTATGAAATGTGCCAATACTGCTGCCCCTGCTTTTGCTTTGGTTAAATGCATGTTCAAGAACCGGTTTTTCTTGCCGTTTAGTGTGTGGGGCAGTGTTCTGGTTGAGATCAGTAGGAAAAATGGTAACTTTGTAGCGTTTTTACGGGTTTTTGAAGAGAATTGTAGGATTGCTTTGGATGAGAAGTTGGAGTTTATGAAACCGGGTTTGGCTGCTTGTAATGCGGCGTTGGAGGGGTGCTGTCGTGAGCTTGAATCAGTGCGTGATGCCGAGAAAGTTGTTGAGACGATGGCGGTTTTGGGTGTTCGCCCAGATGAGTCGAGTTTTGGTTTTCTTGCTTATTTGTACGCATTGAAGGGTCTGGAGGAAAAAATAACTGAGTTAGAGGGATTGATGGGTGGGTTTGGTTTTTCGGATAAAAGGATGTTTCGGAGTAGTTTGATTAAAGGCTATGTTAAGTCCGGAAAATTAGAATCTGTTTCAGCATCTATTCTGCGTTGTCTGAGTGAAGGAGATGGCGAATGTTTGAATTTGGGTGAAGAAACTTATTGTGAAGTTGTTAAAGGGTATCTTGCAAATACAGGTGTGAAGGAGTTAGCAACTTTGATCATCGCAGCTCAAAAGTTAGAGTCTTCAAGAGTCGATGTTGATAGATCAGTTGGGTACGGTATTGTTAATGCCTGTGTTAGTATTGGATTATCAGATAAGGCGCACAGCATTCTCGATGAAATGAATGCTCAGGGGGGTTCTTTGGGGCTTGGTGTGTATGTGCCAATTTTGAAAGCTTATTGCAAAGAGCATAGAACTGCTGAAGCCACTCAACTGGTCATGGACATTAGTAATTCAGGGCTCGAGTTGGATATGGGGACATATGATGCTCTAATCGAAGCATCCATGTCCAGTCAAGATTTTCAGTCGGCCTTTTCTTTGTTTAGGGACATGAGAGAAGCAAGAATATCTGACTTAAAGGGCAGTTACCTAACCATAATGACAGGTTTAATGGAGAATCATCGGCCAGAGCTAATGGCTGCCTTCTTAGATGAGGTTGTTGAGGACCCTCGAGTTGAAGTGGGTACCCATGATTGGAACTCAATTATTCACGCCTTTTGTAAAGCTGGGCGACTAGAAGATGCCAGGAGGACTTTTAGAAGGATGATTTTCTTGCAGCATAAGCCTAATGAACAGACATATTTATCATTAATTAGTGGGTATGTTTCTATGGAGAAGTATTTCAGTGTGCTGATGCTATGGCATGAGGTGAAGAGAAATGTTTCGGTTGATGGAGAGAAGGGTATTAAATTTGACCACCATATGGTTGATGCATTCCTCTATGCTCTTGTTAAGGGAGGCTTTTTCGATGCAGTAATGCAAGTTGTCGAGAAATCTCAAGAGATGAAAGTCTTTGTGGATAAGTGGAGGTACAAGCAGGCATTCATGGAAACCCATAAGAAGCTTAAAGTGGCAAAGTTGAGAAAGCGAAATTTCAAAAAAATGGAAGCACTTGTTGCATTCAAGAATTGGGCTGGTCTGAATGCATGAACTCCAGTCAGTGGCAGGAGCAGGTTTTGTCAATTTGAGCTTCTGCTCCCAGCTCAACTGCATTTCAAAAACTTAAAAGGGAAATGTGGAGAAGGAACACGGCACCGTCTTTGGATTTGGATTCTCCGGCTGAATGAACAACACAAGTGGTTAGTTCTTCGATAACTGACACCAATCATGGTTTATATGGTTTCGAGATTGTATTGAAACATTATGTCATTGGGCGTTGAAGGAGATGTATGACCAGTAAGAGCTCCGGCTTGCTTGTGTTAACTATCACATTGCTGGAGGATTCTTCTGTCGCGGAGGAGTGTATGTGACAAGAAGTTCTTTGGGAGTACGAAAACTCTGATCGCTAGATAAGGATGAGGTGAATCCATGAGTTTGACGATCATATTTACTTGATGAATAATTGTCGCAAACAAGAAGATTTCTAAATCTGATGCAGTGGAACGAAGAACTGCCTCGGTTTTTCTCTTGAGTTGTTGAATAAAGAGCCAACTCAGCCTAGCAAACCTCATCATATTTGCAGGTCGTGACTGATGTGGTGGAACGAAGAAGTGCATTGGTATCCAAGTACATAAATGTCACCACCTTTTTTCCAAACCATCTGAATTTCTGTAAGTCTTTGACAAATAATGGCTGAATATTAATACAAGTAATCCGATTTTAAGCAATCAATGAGCAGTTATTTTCATTTACCATTACTCTCAGCTTCTTTGCTTGATGTTTGTAACCTTTCCTCACGCTAGTCTCTGAGCTCGTTTGGATGCACTTTTAAAATGACTGAAAGCGTTTTTGTTGAAAATGTTTTTAGAACTAATTCTTAGTAAAAATGCAAGTATATTATGGAAAAGCACTTAAATGCTTCCTGAAATAAGCACATAACTAGTGTTTCGTGCAGAAAGCACTTTAAGTGTTTTGGGAACCAAAAAACATTTTCTCTAAAAACGCTTTCAATCATTTTAAAAGCATATCCAAACGAATCCTTGTCTTTTGGCAAGCATTTTTTTACAGTGCTTTTCATTTACCCCTATTTTTTTGGTAAATTTCATTACCGTTAGTGTCAGCTTCTCTCGTTAATGTGCTTATACAATGTTGTGCTCACAATAACCCGTCACAACTCACGGTCATGTAAGAGGCGACTACGAAAGAGTTGTATACAACCGTTGTATGCGACAACTTTCCCATATTATGTCGTTTCAATCTTTGGTCGCAGGATTTTTGCTACCACTATAGCCAACGTAGCTACGCGCACATCTACAATTTCTGAACCAATTTCAAGCCTTTGTTTTAATCGGTTGAAATTTTGGTATCATTTTCATATTTTTTTTCAGCAAAAATAAATAAAACAAAAATTACATACGAAGAAGTTGTCAATTTGTCATCAAACTGAAAGGAAGAAAGGAACAACAGCTTTCTTGTATACACGAGCACATGATCATTACTCTCAAACTCTCAAACTCAAACAACTTCAAGATGCCAGAGTTGTACTCGGGCAACTATCAACAGAGCAGGCCAAGATGTCCTTGTACTCCCTTGATATTCTGAACGAATCATAGACCTTTCCGTCCCTGCTCTTCTTGTACTCGAACAATAGGTTCGAGCGATCAAACGCTGTAAGTTTGACAAACCCGTAATCATAGTCCTTGAAGATACTCCATTCCGTTTGAACGGGAGCAAAGGTTGCAAGACTCGCTCCTCCGCCACCAGCAACCACATGTATCGTGCCATTCAAGTTACCCTTGTAATTGTGCTTCTCCTTACTGGTGCAGATATTCTGCCAAAGGGAAATACAATGACGGTCCAATTTCGAATCAAAGATCAACATATAACAGTCACAGCCAAGTAATGTGTAGAATTTTTGGCGTACCTGATAAATGGGGCAACTCCTTTCGTAGTTGTGCACATGGCCGTATACGGCGAGGTCAACTTTGTACTTCTGCCATAATTTCTGAAGGCTTTCCCTTCCCATTGGTTCCTCAAACGATCCTTCGGCGACATAAAAGCTTGCAGAAGAATAACCTAGCACCCGATGAGCCAGAAAGATCAGCCATGGTTGCTTTTGTCTATCGACTGATGCTAGGCACTCCTCAATGAACTTGTATTGCTCTGTTCCCTCTCTCCAATCATGTTCTGTGTCCGCAATGCAGAACCGGAACATGCCATAGTCAGTGGAATACCTGGAAAATTAACAATAAAATCGTTCAAGACTAGTTCTCGCCCTATGTAACAGGTTGGCTTCGAAGTGTTCCGTACCAGAACTTAGCCCTGTTTTCAGCAGGGACATAAAACATGGTCTGGGCCAAGACACCGCATTCCCCGCCTGAATCCATGTTCCCATAGAAGGATCCTGAGCCTGGCCAGTCACGCTCATGATTACCGCTGGATGAACAAATCTCAGATCAGCACATAAGATCAAGGGAAGAAAGTAAATTTTAAACAAACTGTGCAAGCGTATTGTAACGACAAACCTTGCGATCATGTAAGGAACAGCAGATGCTATCGGCTCAACCTGTGCTGTGAATTGATCCCACTGCGAAAGGTATCCATTTGCGTAACATATATCTCCAATGTGGAAAACGATATCAATTTTCTCTAAGTCTTGGATTAGCTGCTTAGTAGTGTTGAGAGAGCCACGCTGGTATTGGTTATATTCATTGGATCCATCAGCTTCATCCTACAAGGTATACCATTAGTCAAAGGACTTAAGAAACTGCGAGTAAGTTTGAGTTGATTATGTTAGAAATTAACGAAAACTACAACATTAAACCAAAACTTGAAGAGAGTCGAAACCTTTCCCATGTCACCGAAGATGACAACGCGTTGAACAGAATTTTGACCAGGATATGGAGATGCTCTGAACTTGTATTCTTGACTCAAAATATGGGAACCATTAGGCAATCTGTGTCCAACCTTGTAGGTGTACCTGCAAATTATCAAGAATCATGTACATGAACAGCGGACTCTTTAATCAATAGATTGAAAAAATGAATCTTAGAAGGCAGAAGACGTGCTAAAAATTTAAAATCGATATAAAATCAAGAGAGCAACAAAATATTTTAGAAGAAAATGTAGCATACACTGTGTTGGGCCACAATTCCTTCAGAAAAGCAGTGTGTATAAATCCAGGATCTCGCCACCCCACGGTCTTTGCCGGTGCACCTGTGTTTGTAGAACGTACATGGATAAGGCATAGTCAGGAGATGCACCCTCAACCATCCCCCCCAAGAGAGAGAGAGAGAGAGAGAGAGAGAGAGAGAGAGAGAGAGAGAGAGCAAACACACCACACATGGTGTTGCGGTCGAAGTTCAATGTCCCAGCTGGGGATTTCACACGGTCTTCTCCTTTTATACCCCACTCAACAAAAGGGGTTGCTTCCACGATGTCATATCCACTTGTCCATGTTACAGTCATCTAAATATCAAGTCAGACGGATTGTTTCCTTGAGAAATTGATGAACACAAGCTTGTTCACGAAGAAAAGCATTTCGATGGAAAAAATAGAAGTGAAAGTGTGGGGGAGACATCACTGCAACATAGTTTTCTGTACACCAAGATAATATCTCCAAGAAGAAAGTGTACTTACTTCATTCCACAATTTTCCTTGCGCTAGGCGTGGATAAACTGGAGCCTTCGGATTTGCGAATGCAACTTTATTTGACACTGCCACCAGCTTCGGCTATTTTACAAAACAGGCAGGTAACAATTACACAGATTGCAGCAAGGGACAATTACATAGTTGGAAAAAATAGCAGTTTGTAGAATAACTGTTATCTTACGAAATCTTCATAAACCAAAGGCCAAATGTTTATTTTATCCACTATTTAGAAAAATGAATGTAAGGGCAAAGTACGAAGGCGACAGATAGCAGCAACCATTGGTTCTCTAAAAAAAATAGCATACCTCTGATAAACCACCCGAGAATAGTGCAAAAGCGAAATCTGATCTCTGGTTAATCAACTGCAGTTTCAAGGAGCCTTTCCCGGTATCTTTGTACCTAGGACTAGTGTAGTTCGCATACTGGTACTGCAAAAAAGCAAAAAATTATATGAGATCAAATCTCTATATCTGGATCCACTTCAATGAAAAGCATGCTTGAAGGCCATGGAAAAGTAGCAGCACTATGCTAACCTTTATAGGTGCTGAACATAAAAATGGAGCAGAAGAGCTTTTAGTTTCCGCAGGGCAGGTCGAAGCACTGCAAATTCAAGCAAGTCCATCCAATGCTATCAATTCTATTCAGTATACGATAAAGAAATAAAGAGAAGCAAATTCGTCCGAGAAAAAAGCATGCTAGAGCTCCCAAAAGTTGGCTTGAGACAAACAAAGTTCCATTTACTGACCTGAAATTGGCAGGAGAAAACACTCCAATCCAGTCATCATTTGAAGGGTGTGGAGAACTGAACTCCAATGTCAACCATTCCACATATTGCCCCTAAATTATTGAGTTGGGGAAAAAGTTGCATCAATACCAAACACATACAAAATGCTCAAAAGTACGAGTTTGTCAACAAATAAGGACATCCTATTTCCGGGGCACGATTCATCGAAAAAAAAGGATGTTTTAGAAGTTAACCTGGAGCCCAAGAACTGCAGAGGAGGCCTTCACATAAGCATGGGAATGCAGGGAAGACACTGCCTTGTGAACAGCAATCTTTGACAAAGGCTGATCTCCATGAGACTCCACATCTTGAACTTGAAGAGTTGCAAGAAGAACCAAATGAACTGCCAAGCAGAAATATTTCAACCTTCTCATCCTGCCTACTACATTAGATAGAATCAATAAGACAAAAAACCCATGTACTAAATAATAAATTCACTAAACTTTTCTAACTTCACCAATTAATAACCAAATGGGTAGCTGGAAAACATCAAAACAAGCAAACGGGTATTAAATCCCATCAAAAATTACACAAACCCCATCTTCTAAATTCACCAAAACCAAAATGAAAATTCAAACTTTTCTAACTTTACCAATCGATAACTAAATGGGTAGCAGGAACACATCAAAACAAGCAAATGGGTATTAATCCCAGAAAAAGTTACAGAAAACCATCATCTAAATCCACCAAACCAAATAAAAAAAATCCAAACTTTTCAACTTTACCAATCGAAAACCAAACGGGCGGCTGATGGGTATTGAAATTCCAGCAAGAAAAACCAGATGAAGTAGAATTTTCAGAACTGACCTTCAGTGAAAGGTTGGTGAAACTCAATCCTGAAGCTAAAGAAATGCCAGCGAATTGTGTTTGAACTTTGACGTGTGGTATGGTGAGGGTGGCTTTTTAAAGGTGGCCGCTTGCGAATATTTGGAGAGAAGATTCCGATTAATCCAGATTTTAATGGCAAGTCAACTTTCTTCCTTTATGAAAAAATCCTCCCTGGTTTTATATCCGTTATGGGCGCAGCCACCGGAAAACCGACTTCGAAACAAGCGGGTTTCCGGAATCCAGCAAGACTGAGACTTCGCTGTCTACCTTATGCATGAACGCCACGTGGGCAACACGAAATCGTACGGCTCATATTTGCGGCTACTTGAAACCGACGTCGTCTAGGAGGTAAATTACCTCCCGCGCTGCGATGGGCTTTCACAACTTAAAACACAAAAAAGCATCTTGGGTCGTTGGATTAAATCTTAGCCACGTGTCATCTGCTGTATTAGGATTTGGGCATGCTGAATCACGGCCTCGTGTAATAATATA